CATGAAGGCTGGGATTAATGAGAATCACCAAAATCAGATACAAACAATATCTTTCTCAAGTCTTCTTCTTCTTCAATTCCTTCTTTCTCCTTTCTATTTTACTTATTATTTAATTTTTCTCCCACCTTTCTGTTTTCTCCAACACTCCTTGAATACCATCATAATCAATTTCTTTCATATGGTTTCCCAAATCCCAGTGTAGCAGTTTGGCTAAGGTCCTGATATCACCCATAACATTTGATGTCATATTCAGAATTTAGGTCTATGTATCTCAAAGCTTCTGGAGGGTAACAGTATTTTTAAAAACTGCACCAAATGTTCTATTTTACACTTAATTTATATTTATGGTTCAAAAAGCCATCTGGAGAACACATGTATATATGCAATATATTTATCTATGTGCGAGGGGAACCAGCTTTTATCATTCTGTGATCCTCAACCTGAGAATCCCTTTTTGAGTATAAATAAATGAAAGAATATAACATCTGCAGCCAAAAATGTTAAATGTCTAAGACCAAAGGAATTTGTTGGGGGGAGAAAAGCCAAAGGAAATGTTTACAGTATAAAATACCATATATCCTAATATACACTTGAAAAATAATTTATTAACAATTCAGGGATTTTCTTCCATGTCTTGAATTATAAGACAACATTGGTCATGCAACTTGAGTGTGCTGGCAGTCTAATACTAATAAGATGGAAATATGGGCAGAGAGATATTTGCACCTGCTGTTTTCTGATTTTCTTAAAAAATAAATTTCCCTTCCATTGAACGTAAGAGGAGCTAAATTACTTAGATCTATGCAAAGTCTTTTTTTTTTCCCAGTCTTTGGAGCACAGATGAAAACGTCCAAGAGCTTAGGACCCAAAAGATCAACAGTTCTTCCCACCAATGACACCCTACCATACCTCTCGTCAGGTTTTCTAATACCAGAATTTCCCATTTCAGGAAGAGCTGGCCTCAGGAACTTAGAAAAAAGTTTCCAATATTTGATTTTTCCCATCCAAGATAAATGTCCTCTCTCAAAACTGAAGAGGAAAATCTGACAGAATCTCTGGCAGGCCACAGATTTGTACTTTTTAAAAAATATATATAAGAACAGAAGATTAAGTAATTTTACTTTCAGAACAAATTACATTTTTCCAAGTCTAAATGCATACCTGAATGGCCCATCAGTTTTGAAAGGGCTAGTAACTTGTAGACTATATTTTTTCAACTCATAACATGAAGATTTGCATTTTAATATGCCCTGAAGATAAACAGAAATAGGCATTAGCTTGGAAGTTCACATCGGTAGTGAACTAAATAAAAAACATACATGATAAATTGCTATTTTTAAACAAAAAACTTTTTCAACTTTATGTATGACCAGTACACACAGGCCAATATCCTCTTAGTCAAGTTTTCAGAAAATCTTCCCAATGAAAAGTGTAGGACAGGTTCTGCTGCTTCAGATGGGGACATAAATGTCTATGAAATTTCAACATATAGGAATTAACCTACTTTACAGCTGGAGCAGGCAACCAAGTGCCTTCCAGATATTGAAAATGGTACCCTCATTGCTAGGTGGGTCTGTTAGAAACATACGGAACTCCAAAACTTCCAGAGAATATCAGGTTATCTAACAATCCTAGATAGGTTTACAAAGTGCCTAAATTTCTTTTCCTAATTTTTAAATTTTACTATGCGACCATCATTTGGAATACACTCCCAGTACAGTGGTACCTCGGTTCACGAACTTAATTCATTCCGTGACTCTGGTCGTGACCCAAATTGGTCGCGACCCGAATCAAATTTCCCCATAAGGTTCAATGTAAATACGATTAATCCTTTCTGACCCCTCCGAATTTGGTCGCGACCCGAATCAAATTTCCCCATAAGGTTCAATGTAAATACGATTAATCCTTTCTGACCCCTCCGAATTTGGTCGCGACCCGATTTTGGTCGCGTCCCGAATCAAATTTCCCCATAAGGTTCAATGTAAATACGATTAATCCTTTCTGACCCCTCCGAATTTGGTCGCGACCCGATTTTGGTCGCGTCCCGAATCAAATTTCCCCATAAGGTTCAATGTAAATACGATTAATCCTTTCTGACCCCTCCGAATTTGGTCGCGACCCGATTTTGGTCGCGTCCCGAATCAAATTTCCCCATAAAGTTCAATGTAATTACAGTTAATCCATTCTGAACCATATGTATTTTTTTTTTAAAACCGCAAAAATATGACACAAAATACAGTACGAAGAGAGAGAACGCTAACCTTGCTCAACACGACTTCTGGCATGGAGGAGAGGAAGGCGGGTGGGGAGGCGGTTATTGCTTGGAGGGAGAGCCCCCTCCCTACAGGAAGCCCTGACCACGTGTCACGGGAGAGAAAATGGCTGCGGATCCTGTTCGTCACCCAATCCGGCGTTCGCGAACGGAGGCAAAATTTTGCGAACAGAGCTGTTCATGACCCGAATTGGTCATGAAAGAAGCGTTCGTGACCCGAGGTACCACTGTAACATGTTCTTAAATGTGTCCAAACATAAACTGAAGGAAATTGTGAATTCAGGAAGGCGTATGAAGAAATGAGAGAAGCAGGAAAATAGTACAAGACTATTTTATCTTCCTTGCTGGGTACAGTAATGAACCATATTAATTAGCAAGAAGGGAGGAGGACAAGGGAGTTAATCATTCAAAACAATATCTTACTGGTCAAATAGCCTTTGCCAGATACATTGTTCCCATCTACAAATGGAATGTTATTTTTTTACATGCATGAGTGAGTTTCTTTTATGTTTGAACTGTAACTGCTCTTAATCTTATTACTGAGTGTTAAATATGAAGGACTAATTATCATGAACTACATATTTTCTGGAATTTCCTCATAAAATATATGATACTTACAGTAGGTTTGACGTAGTTAATCTTTGTCTTCAAAGAAAAAGCCATTGTAACACCTCCTACTCCACTCAAAGCTTTTGAAACAAGCAAAAGCACAGCTTCGGCAGGATACAGGAAACAGCTAGTGAATTCCACATTTACTTTTACTTGGCTCCTGAATTGGGGAATAATAAGATAACTTCTAATGCAATTATGGAACAGAAAGTAACAATAGTTTTATGTATCTGATACTGAGCTTCTTTTGCCAAGAGAAACTAAAAGGTAAGTCTTGACTCCTTGTGCATTTAGGGACATGTCCATGAAGTTTTCTAAGCAATGGTATGGAAGGGGTTTTCCATGGCTGCCTTTCAGGATGTTTTTCTACATCCCAATTTAACCTACAGCTCTGATATTCCCTGGAGGTCTACCACCCAAGAACAAGGCCCAAATGGATTTAGTTTCTCAGCCCAGACTATATTAGTCAGGACTTGCCACCTATCAAGTCTACAAAGTGGTAAAAACCAATGAACATTTGAAAATTGATATTTCACTATTACATTCTCATGCAGGTCCATTGTAGCACTGCTGGTTTTCTTTCCCTCCAATTCCCATATAAAAAAGAGTGAAACAAGGTGTCATTTTGGGCCCTTTCCATTTTAATTCCTAAATTATTTAGTTTTAGCCCAGACAAAATCTGAGTTTCACCATCCAAGTTAGCAAACAGACCTATTTCAGTTCTCCTTTACACTGATAATCCAGCTATCCTTTCTACAACTAAAGTGGGCTTGAGATGGAGTTTCTAAGCCTGGTCTCTTATTGTGAAGAAGAAACACTTCTAACCCAAACAAAACTACAAATGTAGTTTTCTCAAAAAGATTGGTCATCAGCCATCACTCTCAGAAAATTAATGATTCTCTATTGAATAAATTAAGATGTTTAAACTCTTGTACATTTCCTTTCAATATCAAGCACTCTGGAAAGAACTACCAATGGCTGCTTCTGTCCAGACCCACAGACCTGCAAATGCCATTTTATGTTATGCCAGCTCTAATGACAACAATTATGCACCTGTCACAGAGTAAAGTTAATTAGCCATCTGTTATATGGCACCCACATATTATAATCACTATACTTCAAGCTTTTTAGTTGTAGTTCAGTCTAAATTTTTAAAAGCCTAGTTGTGAGTCCCTAAATGCACTTCCAACTTTTTTTTTTATTTCTGGAAAAGTCTTTATTGAGAATTGTATGACGTAAGACCTCTGATGCCTCAAATTCTGGCTTAAATTAGTATTTATTGATATTTCCCTATCTTCCTTCACTGATTTTACAGGATATTTATCTGTATTGACAAAAGGCATAGATTTGGATATAAAATGTTGTGGTTTATTTAACCATGCTCAGGCCTCACTGGATTTGAAGCAATGGGTCCTCAGGAATGATATTCAGAGAAACCTGAGCACAAATCCCTTTTTGTAAGGTATGAGCTTGATTGAAAGACTGTTCTGAAATTCTAATTATTTAGCTATTATTTTATGTCCATCCCACAGAAGAGTTTTCACATTTACCAGGCACAATGCTTTGCCCTCCATGTTACCAGAAGGAATATTGAGTAACACTTCTATGCATGAGGGCCTATTTCTTCCAACGGAGAAGATACAGAACATTTCGCATGTTTTCCTATTATGCTCTTATTTGGCCTAATTTGATAATTCAGAAGGAATATTCTCCTTCCTTTAGTTCACAGAACTTCTCTAAACTCCAGAAGAGCAGTCAATTTCACTCAATAGCCATTGCTATTGTCACTAATATTGTACCTACTTTGTTGGATGTTGTATTCAGATATATATCCAATTGTACTTAAACTGAGATCTTTATTCTATTTTTATGTATATTTCAGCCTAGACTTTTGGATAGGATCTACATAAAGAATTTGAGGAAATTATACATTTTTTTCCAACCAGTGACTTGTAATATTATCTTTCAAAAGAAAATTAAGTGTACAATAATTTCAAACATTATAGAACGTTGTTTTTGAAAAGATATATTATATTTAAGAATGATTCAATAAGTGTGTAGTATCAGGGCTGAGTCTGATATAGGTTGCAGTGAGTTCTCAAAGCACCTCTCCTAGAGGTCCTCTGGGATTTACATAGTATGGGGCCATCTTCTTTTCTTGGTGTAGGTGCTTGATAAGATAGCCACCATGTATCTTACAGATATCCTCCAGACCCCACCAACCCGAGCATGTGAGATAGACTGGAATTCCACAACAACTTTACTTTACTGTCAGATAGAAAGTGTCATGGCCCAGGCTCAGGACTCAGATTGTGAATCTGAATCTGACCCTGAAGAAGCTGCTCCAGCTGAGCCTGTGGAATGTCAGGCTCAGGGGAGACAAAGCCAGGAATCACATGAGGCTGATCAAATACAGGCACTACCTGAGCAGCTGGAGAAGTCAGATGAGGATGGCATAAGGCCTCCCAGCCCCTGCACCCGATGAGTGGAGAAGAGAGCAGAGCAGAGATGTCTATGAGGCTCCTTGCCAAGCAAAGGAGTAAATGTCTTGATTAGTGACAGCTGGCTGCAGCCTGATTTAAGAGGCAGCCCTGACCCATGTTCCCTTTGCTAGAAACAACTGTCTGACCTCTGGCTCTTGTGTGACACTCATGTGTGGATTCTGCCCATGAAATTCTGACGTTTGGACTGGCTGACAACCCTGACCCAGCTCTCTGAACCTTGGACTGATATTGAACTACTCTTCTGCATGTTCCTGTTAAAAAGCAAATCATTCAGACAAATGCCCGAGACTCTGTTTTAGTTTGCATGCTTTGACTGTTATCCCTTGATCGTGAATAAACTATGAGCTACCACAGCAATTCTGTGAGAGTCAGTATTTGAAACCTGAAGCAGGACAGAAAGAAAAAGATGACAAAAATGCAATAAATAAATAAATAAATAGCACCACATCCAAGTCCTATAGTGTAAGGCTTGTGACTAGGGAAGTCAGCACCCTCATTCCCGCTCTAGCAGAATCTACAAATGATTCATAAAATTACTTAATATTTTTAAAAAAGAAACCCTTCTTTTCTTGCTTTAAGTAGTCACGCTACTTTACAGTTAATGTAAGGTTCAAGGTGAATAACAAAACGGTATTGATCTACCCCTAATTTACAAGAATTCTGCTGTAAAGCAATTCCAAGTTACATAAAACCACACAATTTACTGAACATGTACAAAGAACTTAAATATTTGAAACAAAAAGTTTTCAACTAACATATACACATCAAGGTAAATCAAAAGCTTAACTGCTAATTCCTGGTTAAATATTCACCTGTACCTTAGACACAAAGGCCAAATCCACACTGTTTACCACATCATTAGTCCAGGCCACCCACCATTTCTTGAGTGCAGGAACGTATGTTGCTGTCTTCCACCTACTCATAGCCCATTGCAAATGCACCCCACCACCACCACCAATGTTTTGAATCTCTGTTTCAAAAGTACTATTTTCCACCCTGAACTGTCTTAAACCCTTCTGAGCAGTTAGCCTGCCGTGCTTCATTCCAATTGAGCAACATCCCCAGTTCCATTGCTACAGAGGCTGGCACACTTCCCCCTACAGCAGCTGGTCACTGTCCTGAACAGCCATTTCATTTTGAGCAATGTTCTTAGGTGGTTAGTAGCTTTCTTTTTTTAAATTTTTGTTAAGCCAACATTGCCCCATCAAGATAATAGAGTCCAATAAAGTCTCCTGGACACCATCTTTCCCCCACTTTTCTGCCAGCACAACATCATTCCATTTTTACATCTCCTAGTGATCACCCTTTTGGTTTCTGCCAAGGTTTCCTTTCTTTCTCACCCTGTGCTTGCTGTATTTTACTGGGTCCCTTTGGAAAAAACAAACAAACTTTTAAGCTTAGGCTGCCATGCAAAATTGCCCACAGGATCACTCCAACAAAAGATTCCTACTTGCTCTTCTTGGTTTTTTCAGATTCTTGTCAATTATAACCTTAAATCAGGGGTATAGAAAAACAATACTTTAGCTCCTTTCCCTCCCCTATGTCTAGATTTCTGTTTTGGATTTTCAAAGCTTTCCCTCTCTATAAGTGAAGGGAGTTTGGTAATCTTCCCAAATATGTATCCCAGTCATGCTCAGGAAAGCATTTTCCGTCAGAACGATTCCTGCTTGAGACAAGGTTGTGTACTGGATACTTCTAGAATTGCAACTGGCAGTCTGGAGTCCCGGGAAGATAGGTTGGTTTTACAACATAGCATAGTACACAGATTCTAAATATAAGTTGTCTGGGTCAAAAAGAAAAAGGAAGCACAAATGGGTGCAAGGAATACAATCATGAGGTTTAGAACCCCTATTGATTATTTAAAGTAGACCTCCAAACAGACAGAGTGTGGGAAAGAGATTAATATTGCTGAGTGCCTGAGTGAATGAATTCCATTGGGCTAAGATATATTAAGGCAAGGACTTATGGAGATGTGAAGAATATGGAAGAGGAGAACCATTCAAAGAGAATGTTATAAAAAGATCACCCAACAGGGATCAAATCACTATAAGGACTTTTTTTTTTTTTTAACTCTGGACAGACCTGAAGGAAGGACACTCAAATATTACAATATGTATTGAACAATACAGAGCTCATGTATTTCTTTGCTGTACCTCTAGACTGCTCAATAACTGCAGCTTTTTAAGTGGTAAAAAAAAAAAAAGTAAAACAATAAAAAAGTACTCAATGAACAGCAAATCTGGTGTAAGCACAGAATTCTGAAGATGCAATTAAACAAATATCTGGAAGATCACAGTGTCTAGAGGAAGATATGGGGACATAGTTGCAGTCATAAACCAAATGGAAGTTTACTTACTTTGGGGAAATTGTGACAGTGTTTCCTTTAGGTAATGAAAAAGCAGAAGATTCTCTTCCTAAAATTGTAGCATTGTATACCAAGGGCTTTATGCTGGGGTTTTTCAACTGTATCTGTTGCAAAAATACAATATTTTCATTTATTGAATCTCTTTACTCCCCTTTTCAGAGCAATCCCCAAAAGACTTACATAAAAAGTCTCCATAAACAGTTTGACAAACAATATTACATATTTTTTCCATTTCAGTAAATGCAGCAGCTGCAAGACATGGGATCAGGCAAAATTCATGAAGAGGTATGTATTATACTTTCTTTGTTTTGTAGAGGGCCCTAATAAATTTCCTCAGGAACCTTAAGACATCACTAAAAAACAGCATTATTATTCCCAAATTACAGATGAAGGGGGAGCTAAGAGATAGTGAGTTGCATGAGGTTTTAAATTATGTCTTTTACTAGATGACAGCTCTAGTAACAAAGCAGGGATTTCCAAAATCACAGATCATTATTAAAATAATTATGCTAAATAAAAATGGATTAATTCCTAAAAGAACTGAAAACTAATAAAATAAATTACCTCATTATCCATAACACTTTGAATAGTAAAAGTGGTATAGTATAGTAAAAAGATGACACAACTTTTACCCTAAGTGTTGGAAGAATTTAACTACCAGTCATCATAGGCACTATGGAAACTGAAGTGCAAAACATCTGGATACCATTGTTGTGAATGCATTTTTCAGATCTGCAGATCATAACCTAATATTTGATATGCCATGACTCCCTATTAAGGTTAAAATTCAGAAACCAGCCCTCTAGCTATGAATCAGTAAGTACAGGTTCTTTTTTCTTTACGTTACATCTTATCTTCCAGTATCTACTAATAACGCTTAATTATTGAGGCTCATTTTCTCCAATATCAGTAACAGAAATCCCCAGGTCCATATTATACTTTCAATTCTATCAAAAACTATTTAAAATCTTAATGTAGAAATACCTTTCTAAGAATAGTAGCATGAAGTTGGCCAGTGAACTCAAGTGTTTTCTTAGGTAAATACTGAGGAAGCCGCTCGTATAAATAGACACAAAGCATAAGCATCATGACTGGATTTGGATCACAAATGTCAGCAGCCTAATTTAACATTGAAAATAAGGCAATGTAAATTGGTGCTGTAGACGAAGACTTTGAAAAAAAAATGTTAAGAGATTGCAATTTCAGTTATCTTAATTACCGATCTTCCATATATAAAGCCACTATAAAACAGAAACTAAAACCTAGAAACTAGAACTGATTTTTTTCAAACATCAACATAAGGAAGTACACAAAAGAAGATGTCTGAGAAACAAATGCCTTGAATCTGTTGTACTGAATCGACATACGAAACAAGGGGAAATGTATAGAAATATTTAAATACTGTCTAAATTATCACAGTTCTTTTCATACAAATATATTTCTAGTGACTGGTTGCTTACATTTAAATATACCAATAAAACCTTAAAATACAGTAAAAAAAAGTTTACTGAAATTCAGTTATGCGCTTCTCTAGGACAGAAAGAGTACTGACACTTTTGAACTTTGGTGTTGGAGAAGACTCTTGAGAATACCATTCAAGAAAACAAATCTATGGATCATTGAACAAATCAACTCAGAGTTCTCACTCAAGGCCCAAATGACCAAGCTCAAATTATCCTACTTTGGACACATTATGTGTGTCCAGGACAACACATTATGCGCATCTAGGACAACACCTAGCTTTCTGGTGAAGGCTCCGATGCTGGGAAAGGTGGAAGGAAAAAGAAGAAGATGATCAGCAGCAAGATGGATGGACTCAGTTACAGTGGCAATGAGTGCACCATTGGGAGACATGAAAGACAAGGTTATAGGCAGATCATCATGGAAAAAAATTATCTATGTGGTCACTAAGAGTCAACATTGACTTGATGGGACATAATCAAATCAATGAGAGATAGGATATATCCACTCCTTTATTCAGAGTTTTTCATACAGCAGCAGGATTGAATGTTCTAAATAACTGGTTAATTAACATAAATATGTAGTATACATAAATAATATTTAATACTCTAGAGTATTACTTTCTGTACTTTCTGAATTTTATTTTCTGCAAAATTCATTGTTTATAATTTTATACCAACTCCACAGGTTTGTATTTACTACTATCCCAGTATATATCATTTATTTGATGAAATGAACAATAGTCAATGAAAATTTATTTCATGATAATGTGCATCTATGTTTCTTGGTAGCAATAACAGCATCAATTACCGCATTACTTAACAACAGTAAAAATATTATGCAGCTTTTTGAAATCAGTACGTTAAAGACAAAAGACAGAAATGTCATTATGTTTTTTGGGGATGAAGGATGAGGTATGATTTTCTTCCTATTTCTGATAAACATTCCACCAGATTTTCAGTGCAGTACCAAGCACTGCTGGAAGGAAGTGGGATAGCCTTAGTCTACATGAATCTTTCTAGTCTAACAGATCTTTGGAACATAAATCAGGATAGGGAACCTATCTTACAAATTGCTAGCCAAGATGGTCTGTGGCATGGTTTGTGGACACAAGACTGAACTCAGGCTTTAATAATCATGCTGATGACACAGTCTAGGTCAACCAGAGGTTTATCATTTTTACAATAACCTTGGGGCTATGTCAAATTATACCAGATTCTGGTTTATCTATTATTTTATTTTATTTATTTATACATAGACTTATCCCCACTCATCTCCCCACAATGGGGGACTCTGGGCAGTTTACATCAAGTTAAAACAATAAATACATAATTAAAATT